AGGTCTCCCCTGAGTCTCCTTTCCTCCAGGCTAAACAACCCCAGTTCCCTCAGCCGCTCCTCATAAGGCTTGTTCTCCAGACCCCTCACCAGCCTCGTTGCCCTTCTCTGGACACGCTCCAGCACCTCGACGTCCTTCTTGTAGTGAGGGGCCCAAAACTGAACACAGTATTCGAGGTGTGGCCTCACCAGTGCTGAGTACAGGGGGACGATCGCTTCCCCACTCCTGCTGGCCATGCTATTTCTGATACAGGCCAGAATGCCATTGGCCTTCTTGGCCACCTGAGCACACTGCCAGCTCATGTTCAGCCAACTGTCGACGAGCATTTATCATTGATAAAGATATTAAATAAGACCAGCACCAAAACTGAGCCCTGGGGAACACTGCTTGTGACCAGCCGCCAGCTGGATTTAACTCCATTCACCACAATTTATGTGGTGAATTATGCTGTTAATTTATGTATCATACATATTTCTTGCTGATGTGCTTTCAGTTTATATGTACAAACAAAATAAACCAAAGTATGCCAATTGTTGCAGAATAAAATCGCTTTCTGGTAGTGCAGAGATAGAATTGATTGACAGCTGGAAGTTTGGTATCATTGAAGCCTGTTATCTGGAAACTTCTGCTAAAGTGCTGGCAATAACACTTCTGTCTGAAGTACAGATTTCATTTGAATTTGCTCAGTTCTGTTTTTTCATTTTGAAGAATTCTTTCTGTAGTCTAGGAAAGAAGTTAATGCAGAAGATTATTTCTAGCATTTCATAGCAGTGAAATTTGCCTGTGTAATATTGCCTCAGAGTAGAGAGGCAGCTGGCTAGCTCACTGTTCAGTAGTGTATTACATCAGTGCTACATCAGTGCTACTTGTCTGTAGAAATCTGCAAACAGTCAAGCTTTTTGATTAATAATTCAATGGAAGACAATATTTCTTTGGTATTTCACTTCTGCCCTAAATCTCTACTTTCCACACTATGTTAGTGCAACAAAATGCGGTTGAATTTTATCAATAAGCTCTATTGAGTGTTATCTCATTGACTGACTGCATTCTAGCACATTGGATCTGTATTTCCTAGAAACAGTAGCTTTGGGTAAAGAACATGAGGTACTTTGGACTGGGTTCTCAGAAAGTACTGACTACGCACCCTCTGCTGTCTGACTTTCTAAAACTGCTGCCTTTTTTGATACAGTATTTTCAATTCATTTAGATGGTCATACTAGAGAAGAAATTGTTTAAGTCCTTTATTACAAAGATCAAAAGTCATGGTTACCATTTACATACACAATTTACAAATTATTCACAAAAGGAATAACAGATATGCAAGAACTGACAGCTTACTTCAGCCCAAGTTGGGGATGGGACAGTGTAGTTGTTTCCCTGCTTTATTTACTGAAAGAAAAGATATGTTTGTTTTTTGTTGTCTGTATGTGTTAAACACTGATCTAGTGTTTATGTAGCACCTTTAGTCATAACCATGCAAATGCTTACATGCTTATCTTTATTTGAAAGAATGCAATGCATGTATAAGCATGTACTGGGATATGTACTCTCTTCACACTGCTGAGTGTTTGTTGGTCAGGAATCCTGTTGATTTTGGTACAATACAGTGGTCGGGGTTGAAAAAAATTGATTTGTAGGATTTTACTGATCTGAGCAATTTGTCATTAAAACAAAAATGGAGATTACTATCAGAACTCTTACTCTAAGAACTGAATTAAGTATGGCTGCTATATCTTTCAAGAATACTATATGATCTTAAGATACATATTCGCCATGGTGTTAGATGTCTTTGATATCACAACTGATTTATTGCTTTTCTTTCATTTAGGTTAGCACATTTTATACCATTTCCTAAAGCTATTTCAGAGACTGGGAAACTTAACAACAAAGAATCCTATTTTGAGAGATTTGGTAAATTAGCAAACTTCACAGAATATCTTACAGGACTTAACAAAAGGGAGAATGAGTTTCTAAATCCCCTGGTATGAAAGCACAATATCAACAGTGCAGTAGCTGCCATTTAGCTAAACCTACAAATACCCATACTTAGCACTTTTTGCTGTCCACTGGGATGACATTTGACAAAATACTTGAAGGAGCACACCGATTTAGGAGCAAACACAAATATAAATACAGAAATCACTGATGTGATGTTGCATCCAAATTCTAAGCAATAAAGCAAAACACTTCACAAAAGTTGTTACGTCTAGTGGAACCGTTTAGTGGGCATAATCCAAATACTTATGACAGTATTATGAAGGTATGACTTTCTACCCAGCTATCAAATATTCTTTATCATGAACTTTACAGTATTCTTAGGGTGACAGATAAAGAATGTTGCAGATGCCATGGTAAACTTAAAATACAGTAATAGGCAAAGATTTTAGTGGCACCACCTGTATATACAACATAGTTGTTGGAACCTTATGGAACAAAGCAATGTTACAGTATGCCTTTGTTAAGGCTTCTTGCTGGTTTAAAAAGGTAGATTTTTTTTTAGGGAGGTTGTCCAGCAGTATTGGTTTCACATCTCTTCAGTGGAAGGTCTCTTTATTGATCCACATAAGACTGCGCGTTTCATTTGGTTTGCATTCATACTCAATACTACCAAAACTGTTTCCCCATTGGCAATGATCCCGTTTGTGGTAGTTGTAGAATTTGACTTGCCAGACTGTTTCAAAAACGCCAATGTCGTTAAACTGCAAGGAAGAGGGAATATCAGTGTTAGTGAGCTGATTATTTTGTTGGTTTCTCTCTATTAATGAAAAACAACACTCTTACGAAACTGCAGAATGTAAAACAGCTGATATAAGGGTTATTGTTCCTCAAGTCAATAAATCAAAGATCTGTAAAGCCTGCTGTAGCAGTCATAAAGTCTTTTATGCTTAGGCATGCATAAAACATGAAGGATCAGATTCTCCATGTACTGTCCTCTTGCACTTATATCTGGGAAAGGCAAAGGAGTAAAAATGTTCAAGTTCCCATATGGATAAATGTTACTAACAGCAAGAATCAAAGCTATAATCCTTCTTAAGATGACACAGCAGTAGTTGGCATGATGATCTCAAAGTGGCTTGTATATACATATCATGTAGCAGTGATCCGTAGTGATACGGACCATCGCTTCACCTTTATACCATACCTAGAGGCTGCAGTTACGACTGGGAAGATTCCTTCTTTTGCTCAATCTGAAATATTTAATGTCCCTGTATTTTGTAGCCTTGTGTTTGCAGTGTCTTGATTGAGACATGCTGCTATTAGCCCACTTACTACTTCCCTGGGATTCTGTTCCGCATTTTACATGAAACTTAAGCAAAAGAAGTTCTCCTTTGCGCATTTCTGTAATTGCTAGTTGTACTGTGATAGTGCAGCTTTTCAAACTTAGATATGAGTAATAGAGGCTAGGAAGGAGATAATCAGCACATGATAGCAGATAAGTGTTTGATACAGTGAAGGGGTAGTGAGACATCGACTACAAGTTGTCTGATTGTGCTTACAACTTTGAAGTGAATGAGACTATGGCTATACTAAGTTCTGCAAAATAAAATCTCTCACTTTTTTGAAGCCATTGCTAGATACCCTTGCAAGATCAGAAAAACCATATGAATGAGGCTCAACAAGGGTAGATCATGACTTCAGTTATTATGGTGATGCAAAATTTGAGTTCCTGTGCTTTGAGACCTTGCAAAGAGTCCAAAGTGTGGGTGTGAAGCCTATACGGATTGTTGTTGGTCCCAGAAGTATGGTTTGTTGATTGTGCTATGTTGTTACAAGATACTAGATGGGAGATTCAGCGCCACTGAACAACACTCTGTTCTTCAACATTTTTTCCTTTTAAATATTTCCATCACTCACTTTAATGACAGCTTCTGTACTTGACTATTTTTCATTCCCATCATGTGCCTAGGAGCTGACCTTTGATCATCTGCCTATTACAATCACATTTGCAAAGTCAGTATGAAAGCCCTTTTACACAGTGACTTTTCCTGAGTTGCAAGCAGAGCTTTCTGTATCCAGTTTTCTCAGAAGGACATGTTTGTTTGTTTTTTTTTAATTCAAGATGTGGTTTGTAAGCTGCTACCGAGTAACGGACATTGCTTTAAACCTTCCCCCAGCCCACTGTGGTAACTTAAATTT